ATAAATAGTATTTATAGTTATTATAAATACTATTTATAATATTTAAAAAACAATATTACTTTGTTTTGAAAATCCAAAATATGGTGTGGGAGTCAGTAAATAAATGAATAGAGATTTATTTATAAAAAAATCTCTAGACCAAGATTACTCTAAGAATTCAAAAAAAAGAAAAAATTTGATTATTTATCATAATTTTGTTTTCTTGTAATATTAATTAATTATATTTTTAATTAATACACAACTTTTTGATTTTCTTTGAGAAAATTAAAATTTTTTGATCCTGTTAATAAAAGTTGTTATAAATGCTGTAATAAAAATTAAAGTCTCTTTTATTTAAATAAGATTATTCTTAAATTTATAAAAAGTTATGTAATAAATACATTCAATTGATGGAAGGTCTTCATTTAAATGTTCATTGTAACTTTTAAAATTAAAATAACAAAATGAATTAATTATCTTTGATAATCATGTAATAAAGTAAGATCAAAAACAAATAATTAAAATAAATTGAATATGTTAATTTGATTTGTCAATATAAATTTGGAATTGGATAAAATTCATGGATTACTGCGTGTAAGTGTAAATGGACTAGATATGAATATTCTAATAAATATAATTATTCTGTATAACAGAAAAAAAATAATTTAATATTTCTAATTTGATGACAATTAATATAATAATAAAACAAATAATTTAATATTTCTAAGTACAAGATAATTGTCTATTTTCTTCAGAAAAGAAGCTCCAAGATGATTCATTTCTAAATCAGAAAATTAAAGAGCATTTAAGAAGGGTTTAGATCTCAATGGTTCATTTCCAATTACATTCTTTAGCTGCATTAATTCAAAATATGTTCTCTATATATGACTTAATTTAAAAATTAGTTTTTCATATAATAATAAATTTTAATTATTAAAATATACTATTAACCTCATAAGCATTCTAAGCTTTACTTATTTAAAATTTTTTTCAGCTTAGAAACAACTGAGTTTATGATATGGAATTCATTCAAAACGTTATATATATGATAAATTGATGTCCTACGTTGAAGAATTATTATTTCATTTAAATTAATTTTATTTTAATTAAATTTATGCCCCATCTCATTTGGTCTGATTTTTCAATCTAAATAGTTAACTTTTAAAGCCATTTTCCCCAAATGTTTTAAGACTATCATAAACTTGGGGAACACCAAATTCCACCATAAATTTGGAAGAGATTAATCCATTTTCCCTCAATTTATTTATAAATGATATCTCAATCATTATTCTATGTCCAAGTTTTTGTCCAATAATTTAATCCAGAACCCCATTAATTTCAGAGACAAAAAACTAAAATAATCTAGCTATATGAAAAAAAAAAACTTCCCAATAATTTGCCTAAATTTCAAATAATTAAGATTTCCTTTTAACCTTAAGATTATTAGGTTAATTATAATTTGTTATAAATCATTATGAAATTATATGTGCTGATATTATGCTTCATTTAATTAAATGCCTATGAGTATTGGATTACATAGTATAGTGCCTTTACTTCTAATAATATAATTGATAATGAAGGTTTATTTTGGAATATATTTAGGTTGGTCTGTCTAAGGAAATAATGGATTGACTAGTTTTTGTAATGGAGTATCATTATTTGGAGGTTTTAATGTATTTGGATCTGGGGCTAGTGCATCAAAATTAATTAATCTGCCTCCCCATTACAAACTTAGAGTTTCTTTTGAGTTTTGGAAGTATCTAAAATAATTAGAAATAGGATAGATAGTTGGGATAAGGAATATGCATACTTTATTTTAGATGATAATGTATTAACAGAATTTTGGAATTGGGATACCTCAGATGTGAAGTGTGGGAATCCAGATAATGTAGAACTTTGGAAGGACGATATAAAAAATTATGTATTCGAATTTCTTCATTACGAACCAACACTTGCTATTATTTTTACTACTAATTTAGATGAAGGTCCATATTATGTACTTATGTAATTTTATAAAGGAATCCTGGGGTTTTAGAATGTTTACGGTTTAAGCTCTTTTATGTTCCCCAGGCTGTTTAATGTGTTATGATGATACCCCAAATGAATGCTGGTATTATGGACTAGTCGAAATGAATTGGTTTGATAGTTTTAATTTTGATGGATGGACTCTTGATAATTAATAGTTTCTAGGCAAAAGTTCCTGTGTTAGCATTTGGGTAATAGGAGGAATAGGTTAAATTACAGGAAGTAAATAGTTATTGAAGTAATATACTTCTTTAACTCCACATTACAAAATAATTTTGCAGGTTCAGCTATGGAAATTTGATTTTTGGAATAATAACTAATTTTAGATAGAAATTGATGGGTAAATTAGTCTTTAAGCAATATTTAATTAAATTGAAGTTGTTCAACTATGTGGCAGTAGTGGTGGTGGAGAGAGGTTAATAAACATTCGTTTAGTGAAGACTCATACATCTGATAGTGTGTAAATTAAGATGAAATCTAATCTTGTTTCTTCAAATGGATTTTGGGGATTACGAGCTTTTAGATTATTTGTAATAAAATGCTATTAAACATGTTTGATTTGTTCTGGGCCAAATAAAAATGAATGTTCAGTATGCATAACTGGATTCATTTTACATAATTCTGAATGTGTAGATTGTATAATATAAATATTATTTTAGTAAAATGGATTTTGGGTTTAAAACAATATTTCTAACCTTAGGATTTTCAAACTTAAAGTGGGTGGACTATTACAAATGTTTTTAATAATAAATCACCATTTTAAATTTGTGCTAATACCAATTTATTAGGAGGATTCTCATTATTTGGTAAGGATGCTTCTGTGGCCTTAAATTTTGATCTTCCAAACCACACAAAAATAAGAATTAAATTAGAATTTTGGAAATTTGACACTTGGGATCATGAATGGTTCAAGGTATTTGCTAATGGAATTCAAGTTTTTTAAGTTTAATTTGGATATAATGGAGTGTAAGTTATTTGTGGTTCAAATTATAAAGAAGCTTATAAAAAAAAATTAGATTTTGAATTTGATCATATTTAATCAACTGTCGATTTGATTATGACAACTTCTTTAAATGAACTGGCTGATAATGAGTCTTGGGGAATACGAGATTTTTAATTATTATATGGAGTTCCAAAAGAATGCAGCAACTCTATCATAGATTCAATTTCTATGCCATCTTTCATAGGGACTAATTATATTTAATCAACATTATATTCATCTGATTAGACATTGCAAAATAAAATAGAGATTCCTGGACTAGGAATATCTCTGCAGTCTAATTTTGATCAAACAATAACTGTTGATTCTGCAATTGAAAAACTAACAATATCAATCTCATGGAAATGCTTTTTAAATGATTAAACTTTTTCCATTTCAATTTTACAAAGCAGTTATACAGATTATAAAACAGGAACAGCAGTTTGTAAATAAAAACGATCCAATGTTGTATAATCTGTATTAACTCTAGAAAGGACAATAATATAATAATCGTAAATTAGATTATTAGCAACATCAACATCACTTTATATATTTTAAATAGTAGAAGGTTAAACTATAAAACTATACGAAATGTTAATTAATTGATAGCTATTAATATTATTAAATTTTTAAATCATTAATAAGCATTAATTAATTCAGTTTGAATAAGGATTTTATGAATATATAGAATATTATTATTTTTTAATTAGATTTTAGAGAATCTTCTTTAAAATAAACAATTTTTGAAACAGCTTTATATTTACATAATATATATATTGAAAAATTAATTTAAATAATAAAAGACTATAAAATTGATCAAATCATTTTTTCTTTTGATATATGTAATTCTTAAAATCAGCATATTTATAGGATTACCTATTTTATTTCATGTGATTCGAATTGATTCTCTTACTCAAAGTCAATTATTCTGATTAGTCAAAGTCTTTGTTGTATTCTTGATATAACATAACTTAATATTATTATAGCTGGTTTTTGTATTCACTAATATTAAGGATACCAAAATTTAGTCATTGATTATTTATTCATATAAATCTAATATCAACTTAAATTACTTTTGTGATATTGCATTAGTATTACAATTCATAGTATTTTCTAAAACTTGTATTCTTCATCATGCAATTTTCAATTTTTTTATATATTTAAACAAGCTATTAGGAAAGTCTATGAAATAAAAAAAAAGTTAATTAGACTTTATTTTAAGATCTCCATCAGATCAATTATTTTTACTGTGAATGATAATTGTTAATATTAAATAGTTTTAATTACCACATCATCATCTTCTTAGGATATATTAGAATAATATTGTTAATTGTTAGTTTTTTGTATGTAATTTTATTTAATTAGTTTAATTAAAAGTACGTATAATTGAATTGTTACAATATATTAAAATTTATTTTTAGATAAACAAAATTAACAAATTTTTTTATCTACTTAATTCTATTGAAATATTTAGTGAATAATAACTATTAATAAATTGATTCGTAATTGTTTGATCTTAAATCTATTCTTAGAAAAGTTATATGTGACCTCAAATTATTTACTTTCCCAACAAACTATGATTTATATGAATATATAAATATAGTTTTATGAATAATTTTTATTTAAAAAACTGAAAATGATGATATCTATCAAGTTTCAATTTTGTCAAATTAACTTCTTTGATAAATAGCCTATAATTGTATATAAAAGGTATGATAAAGTTTAGATCTTAAACCAATTTTAGTAATTTTAAAAATTAATCTTTAAACTAATGATATAAATATGGCATTTTTTAAAGCGTTTACGATATTAATTTTTGTAAATCTAAATACAAATTAATTTAAAGAATAGTTGGAAGGAAGAGTTTGTTGAAATTCAAATTTTCTTAATTAAAAAATGTTCCAGGTTATTAATAAGAACAATCTTCTAATATATTTAAATTAAAATGATAATTTTTTAATTGACTCTTATTCATGCATTCATTTCAGTTTTGATATTAACTTATTGTCAATTTAATGCAAAAGTTGAAAACAAACAGAGATTTTCTTAAAAGGTATTTATTTATGAATGATGAGATTTTTTAATATTTAAATATTGTGAGATAAACATATAATAACAGCCTTTGTTATGTTATTAATCTGGTTGATCTTTTCAAATGATTGAATGTAATGCCTACTTAAAATGTTTTTTTATTTTATCTCTTGTTAACTTTAAAATAATTTAAGACGAGATTTAGATTCATAACCTATAAATTAATTTCCTTTTAATTATTAATTTCAAAAGGTGTTAAATGAGAAGAGCTGTTTAGGGTAAGTAGTCAAGTAATTAGATTATTGGCTCATTAGTTTTTCATAGCTTTATAAGAATGACATAAATGGTATTAAGAAATAAAATCGAACCTTCTTTGTTTCACTTAATTTTTATTAAAACATTACTTTTAATCAAAGCTATTTAAGAAGTATAATTAATCTTATTTATACAATAAGAGGATTAAAGAACAGAAAAAATATAGATTACATTATTCTCCGTTTTATCAAAATTTTCAATAAATTCAATTTAATACAATTATGATGAGCTTATTTTCTAATTCTTCTTTTCATGTGGAATTTTGTATTTTTTAATTGTAATTATTGCATATTTTGATTACTAAGAGACACTTGTATTTATAAAGGTTTTTTTTAAATATTGTTAAATAGTGTTTCACAATATCATATTTTTGCCATCATTGAATATCTTTATTAATTTTGCACTTTCAAACAAAAATTTAGGGTTATCAATAATAGGAATTATAATGGCATTATTACTAGAATTACAATTTTGTTTTTTAAATCCTAAAATTACTCTTCTAGAAATAGAAGGATGTTTTTCAATTAGATCGATTGATGGGTTTTATTTACTTATTTAATTCATTATTTGTTTTGTTGTTTAAAGCAAATAATGGACTAATATACCACCTATTTTATTGTTATTAGCAAAATTAGCAATAATATCACAATAAATTCATAATTATGATTACAATAGTTATTATAATTTGTCTATTTCAACTTTTGTTATTTCTTTCATTTTTGTATTTTTAACAAATCAATATTGGAAAGATTTATTTCTAATATAAATTTTAATAATAAGTCTCATAAAATGCATAAGATTACATAAATTAGAGACAGAATTATTTAAAAACAAGAATCTAAACTATTTTTAGTATAAAATATTTAAAAATCCAGAATTGTAATCAAATTTTAAATATTTTTCACTTTTTTTTGAGAAATTATCTTAAAACAGAATATCTAACTATTAAAATTATATGATAAAAGAAGGATAATTTGAAGAAAGGTTACTTATTATAAATCATGTCCATAAATTTAAGCAGATCTAATTATACTTAAATTTGATCAAAATTAATTAAGATAAACTGAATTGGTTTTAAAAAACAAAACTTGAAGCAAATCTTTTAAATACTATATCTACCTCTAAAAAAGTAATGACATCTTCTTTAAATGTTCGTTAATTCATTAAAGCACTTGATGTGGAATAATAAAATCTTTGGCTTTTAATTAATCTAATTGATGTAAAAAGTCAATTTTATAATTGTTTGATTAAAGAATAAACTTTATATTAATATTTATAAAATTTCAAAAAGCATTTTGATAAATTAATATAAACCCTTGAAAAATTTAAGAATATTTTTGAAAGCTAATATGATCTTCAAACTGGAAAAATGAAAAAATTAAAATCTTTAGATTATATCTCCATTAATAATATATCTTCATTTGAATATATATTTTATGGTAATTATTTCAAAGTAATAAAATAATCGGTAATTTTAGGCAAAATAACTTTAAAAAAAGTAGAATGAACTATCGGCATTAGATAAAATAATGAATGTGAAACTATAAAGAAGTATTATATATAATTAGATATATAAGATGAGGCTTTCCTTGTGTCTACTAGTGGAGTAAGGAATTCTTATCAAATATTAAATTCTAAAAATAAGAGACTTATGTAAGTTTTAGAATACGAAAGAGAGCCTCAATTGATTAGTGATATTCTACCTCCATTTTCATAGGCTATTTATAATAATCTTGTGAATGAATATTTTTAGGCTGAGTTTGATATAAAACAACCTTGTTCTTTATATTTTTTGAAAAATGACTACTTAATTGAGAGTGATTTTTATATAAATGTTTAAATGGGCAAAGATGACATTGTGTTGTAAAATTATTTTGTCTTGAAAAATTAACCTAATCATTTAATTATATTTGATAATGAGGGTAAAATTTAAGGGATAACCTAGGACATTTATGTTTATTTAACTTAGAAGTCAGACAATTCCTTTACTAAGAATCTGTCAGTTTCACAGTTTTTAAAATGTGGATTGATTCAATATTATTTGCCAGAAATCTATAAGTTTATTTAAGATTTAGCAATCCAAATCTCATCTGTTACTTGCCAATAAATCCTAAATATTTAATCAAGATGGGATTTTCCCATTAATCATTAAAAATGCTTAGATTCTACTTAAGTTATACTTCATATATCTGATGATTAAACTCATAAATCAATTAAAAAAAAGCCTTTATATCATTAAGCTTGGAAAAAATAAAAAAGTCTGATTGTGGAAGAAAACATTACTATTTAAAATGTATTGATAAAATTAATGTAAAAACAATTAATCTAATAAATACAAAATCTTGTTGTTCCTTCTTCTAGAATGAAAAGCGTTGAATTTGAAGGTTCTTTAGAATTTTTTAGATTTAAATATTTGGAGAGCGAATCATGTTATTTTATTTTGAGATTTAAACAAATAGAAGATTACTAATAAGATAAAACTCAAAAGATACTTTAAGACTAATAATTTTATTCATCATTAATTATTGATGAACAATAATATGAAGGATTGCAAATAGATTATGAATTTATTGAAAGAATAATCAAGTAGAAAACTCTGAATAAACCTTTAAAATACAATATTATAATACTTATATTCATGATTATTACAACGATTCTTGCTTTAATTATTAGCTATACAGTAAATTATGAATAGATGATCTATTACCAAAATTTAGTCAACTTTCTTACTACTCCTTAGTCGATGACTTATAATATAGGAGCTGGTTTTATTTTAATGTGGAATCAATATTGTATACAAAATAAATTGTATTTTACAAGTCCTTATTTAGAGTAGAGAAGAGAAACTTAACTAATTGGTTTATTTAAATTTTGGAATAAAATTCATGAAGAATCTTCTAGGAATCTTAGTATGAAGAGTTTAGAATTAGGAATGAATAATATAAGTTTAATTACTTTTGAAAATAACGTTAAATATACTATTGATATAGATTTCTATTCATTTTATGCAATAATAAGAGAAAGTATGGTAAGACAGTTTAAAAATACTGATTTTAATAACAGTTCTACTTTTAATCCAGGAATTTTATAAACAAATGGTATAATAAGGTAAAATATGCTTTAAATTTATAAATTTCATAACTATGTATTAGATGATGTAATAGAATCAACAGAAATGTCTTTTTTATAATTTGGAGACTAAACATTCATGCTTAGTCTTTATTCTTCAGTAGTAATATTACTCTTTCTAGTAATTTTTATAATAATTAATTGTTCTCTATTATAAAAATAGGGTAAAATAATTAGATTGCTTTAATATTTAAATATCAACATAATTTTTGATTAATTAGAAATTTTGAATTTCTAAAAAGAATAATTGTAAAAATTATTAATAGTGTAAAATATTTAAAAATCTAATCCTCTTAGATCACAATAAAATGAAAAGATTCCATTAATTTAGAATAAACTTAATCCTTTAAGTAAATTAGATAATTATGATGAGAAGTATCATTTATTGATTATTTTATCTTTGATAATTGGAGTTGAACTAATATTTTTCATTTTTGGTTCATAAATAATAGCTCAATTATATAATAAAGAACATTAAGATAGTTTAATCTTAACAATGAAATATCTTAAATTAAAATCAAGGTTAGATTCAACTATAATAATTGGGGAAATTATGAAAACTGAGCATCTTTTGAAAAATAATACTTATATCAATTTCATAAATGAAACTGAACATATTATGTTCTTTTTTGATAATCTTGATTAATTAACTAATTTATCCAATAGTATAAACAATGAACTTCTTACAGTTTAATCCTACAACTCTTCATTTTAAAATAAACTTATAGACATCTTTAATAAAGATTTGTGTCTTCATTACTCATTTATATTAAGCTTTTGTAATGTTAAGAATATAAAAATTGAATATTATGAAAGCGAAAACTATTTAACCTTAATAGATAAGGGAATATTTGGAATAGTTTAAGATTTAGATAAATTAGCCAAATAGGATTACAATTATGAGTTTATTAATTAAAAATATGAATACAATCAAAGCCATTCAGATTACTTTTTGAATCAACCAATTCATAATCACTTATTTTAATAATACTTTATAGAAATCTAAACTTGTATTTACTTATGTTTTCTTGATATTTTTGCTGAAACCAAAATTTTAAGTGACAGATTATCTAGTTCTATTCTTCTCTATTTAATCACATCCTCTGTAGTGTAATTTATTCAATAATATTTAGTTTCTTGTTATTAACATGGTCGATTGCTGGATTTTGGATCTATAATCAATTTAAGAGATGTAATCAATTAAAATTAATTGCTACTTTATTCCCTCCTGTTTTATTAAAGTAGAATAGCTTTAATAAATTGTTGCATTCTAAATTACTTTAAATTAAGTGATTTAAAAACAAAATATATTATTTATGATCAAATTTTATAAGATATTATTAATAAAAAAATAGAAATAAAATGTATGTTTTGATAAAAATTAATGTTAATTTATTAGTCATTCTTAATTCTATTAGTATTTAATTTTTTTTTAATTCTATTAAAGCATACTTTGTATTATTAATATCTATATAGATATATGGCTGAACAATCAATAATATTATGTTAATTGCACTCCGAAGAAGTTGTAGCCATTGATGAAACATAGCAAGATTTGAATATAAGAAAATTATGTCTAAAATGTTTAGCCTAAGGGTACAAAAGGAAAGTAACTTTAATCAAAGAATCAATCAACTAAGTCAGGGAAATGAAAGCAATAATTAAGTAAGATAGATAGATTTAACTTTAAAATAATATTGAATCCTTCAAAAGCTTAATTAGTAATATTGAATAACTCAAGACTTACTACATTTAATAAATAGAGACAATAGTTTCTATTGTTTAAAAATGGATGCAGTAATTTGAAAATATGGAAGAAGAATATCTTAATAAAGTAGAATCTAAAGAGGAAAATGACATCCAATCTTTTTTAAATTTTATTTAGTAATAACAGGACATATAAGTTAAGTAAGAACCTTAATTTTAATAATAAATTCAAAATTCTTTAATCAATTTAAAAGAAACAAAAGCATTACAGAAATGCAATGATATTTTAGCAAATATTCATCCGATATCTAATGTATTTGAAAAGGATATAACATTCGAGGATGAAAAAAATGAGAATATTGTAAGATTTAAATTATTAATAGTAGCAATTAAATCTATTCTGCGAAAATCATAAATAAAAACGGATTTCTCTAATAGATATGGGCTAGGAGAAGATAAGTTAAAGACGTTTAGCTTGTAAAAAATGTTTGGATAATTATCCTTCATCTAACTATAAAACTGTCAGTTATGCATATTCTTAGTGGATATAGATATTATAAAAAAGATAAGAGAATATGTAAAGAAATTTAGAATAGACACATGAAAAAGTAGAGTCTATAAAATAAATATATGTTATAAATGTAAAATGGCATCAATCAATAATTTGAGAAATCTCTATAAAAACTTACTACTAATTATATTTAATATGAATCTAAAGTTAATTAAATAAAATGTAAAATTAATCTCTCATGGTACAAACTATCGAAAGAAGAGATATTAAATATTGTTGAAGAATTATCTAATATCAATAATCCATCTATATTTGATGATCCATTATATAAAGAATATATAATCAAAGATAATTTGGCCAATCAAACTCTTAAAGATATTCTTTTATTTTTGTAAGAATGTTAAGTAACATATTTGGATCAATTGAATCCTTTCATTAAAAGTTTAATATTTGTAGAAACTAATTAAGGATTAAAAAGCACTTTGTCTGATTTCGATTAAAATCAAAAGTTAACATCAGAGTCTAGTACATAAACCGATTTAAATCAAAAGCTAACATCAGAGTCTAGTATATAAGCCGATTAAAATCAAAAGCTAACATCAGTGTCTAGTACATAAACTGATTTAAATCAAAAGCTAACATCAGTGTCTAGTACATAAACTGATTAAAATCAAAAGCTAATATCAGTGTCTAGTACATAAACAATTACGTAACAAGATATTTTTTAGCACTAAGAGTAGACTCTTTAGAATTAAGGTCTTGTTAAAAAAAATAAAAATTTAAAATTACATTTATAATTGTATTCATAAATACTATAGTAAAACACTTAATAACATGAAGAGAAATCAATAAATAAATAATTTAATTATTAACTAATTTAAAATAGTTCAATTAGGGAAGATAAATGGTGTCGTGCAATGGCTTTTAATAAAGATGGCACAATTTTAGTTGTTGGATCAGATAAATATATAAAAGTATATGAATTTAAAGAAGGCATAATTAAATTAATATAAATACTTAGTGAACATTAAAATAGAATCTTCACATTAAATTTTATGAAATAGTCTAATTAATTTATATCTGGAAGCGGAACAGATGGATGGATTATAATTTGGTCAATGAATTAGAATAATTAATGGATCTGCTAATAAAAATTTAATGAAATCTCATCAGGCATTTAAAGTTTAGTATTAAGCAAAAAAGAGGATATAATTGTATCAGGCAGTAAAGATAATAAAATTAAATTTTGGATTAAATAGAATTAATGGGTATGTCAATAAACAATTATTGAACATAAAAAATGTGTCAATGCATTAAGCTTAAATAATGAATAAAATAGATTGATTTCATGTGGAGATGACTAATAAATATTAATAATTAATTTTTCACAATAAGATAAAAAATGGATTGTTTAATAGAAAATAAATGTTAATAATGTTGGTAATAGATTATGTTTCATTAACAATAAATTATTCACATTTTAGGAAGTTGAAAATGATCAATTGCATATTTATGAATTCTATAATATCAAAAATGGATAATAATATATAAAAACTAAAGATGTTCAAATTAAGTATACCTAAAATGATGGTTTTTGTTTGTTTCCTTAGCAATATATATAATCAAAAGATTTACTAGTAAGTAAGAGTGGATAATATGTTAACTTAATAAAAATAATGAAGGATGGATAATTTGTAACAGAGAAATCTATTGAGTTTTAAAGTAATGGTTTATTTGGATGTATGAGTGAAGATGGTGAATATTTGATTACTTGGGATGAAATATCAAAAGAAATACAAATAAGGAAATATTAAGAAATCTGATTTATCAATTTATTATCAAAAAATCAAAAAAAAATTATTATTATAAATTATTATTTATTCCATTTATATTTTTAATCAATTCAATATATCCATTCAATAAAATAAATTAATTTACTATTATTTTGTTTAACATGATCATCATATATTTCAAGCTTTCTTAAAATTCAACTTGTATTCTTTTTGTCAAAAATATTTTCAATAAATTAATCTACACCAATGATAATAGTAGTAGGGATATTTTTTTATTAATAATATTCAAGCCCTCAAAACTTTTATTCTACAATAATTAATTATATTCCCTTAAGGTAAGTTACCATTAGCAGACTTGAGGATAATGTAGAATAGGTTTAAATTTATATATGAATTAATTTAGATACCCAAATTTAACAATTCTCAACATTTTTTCTC